TTGTGAAAAAGATTGATTGTAGACAGCGATGAAATTAAAGAAAAGAAAATAGTTAATATGATTTATAAAAAAAATTATTATCTTACATCAACTGTACTTGGTATAAGCTAACTGTTGACTGAATAAAAAATCCACAATATTTCGAAATAATTTAGAACGAAATGGTTAACTGTCAAATTACGACCAAACGGCTTAGAAGCATGCTGTTCTATAAGTCTAAAATTCCTGAATTTTATCCTCTTTGAGTTTGTGCTAGACGTAGGCTAATGAGAAGCTCCAGAATAGGATAGAACAGTTGTTAGTTACTATTTGGTCTTTGGAGAATGCTAGTCGGCGGCATATGCTCCATTGGGAGTTACAGTCGTAAGCAAGTAAGTAAGTAATTTAGTCTTTGAAAACTTTTTGGATGGTGTCTTTATGGTATAGAATTCAGATGAAAAATAATTTCTAAATTTCATCATGGTTGCCTACCTTACTGTTCATCATTTTGTTTGTTAATTTTACGACACTACTTCTTTAATATTCAGTAGCTTATGTTTTATTCAGTCATCTTTAGGTCTAGAATTGGACAAAACGTAAGTTTTTATAACAATGAACTGTTATTCTGCTATATTTGTACTTTCATTTCATTGTTTCAGTTTGTTACTTCCTACTTATATTAGTATTTTCACAGGTTGAAATCATGAGTCAACTGAAGCTAGACCACCATGGAAAATTTGGAAGCACTGGACGGTCGTCTCGTCTTAGTATGGAACTCCTCTGCAGTGCGCGTCCACGATCCCACACACCGCGAGACTCGAACCTAGGACCTGTCAGTCTCACGCCAGGTGCTTAACCAACTAGACCACTGAGCCGGCATCCAATGGTGTGAATGTCTAACTTCAACCAATCCATGAAGTTGCACCACCGTACAACATTGTCTTCAGTGAGTTGATATCTCACAACAGACCTGGTTGAACTCCACTGGTAACGGCTTCTCACTAGAACTCCAGGAGTATCTCTTGAAGTCAGTCACTAGTGAGCAGATGATTATTATCAGAAGGGGTTTGTGGAGATTTGAGAAATTTCACAGATTGAAATCATGAGTCAGCTGAAGCTAGACCACCATGGAAAACCTGGAAGCATTGGACGGCCGTTTTGTCCTAGTTTCAAATGACTCATGATTTCAATCTGTGAAATTTCTAAAATCTCCACAAACCCCTTCTGATTATATTAGTATTGTTCACCTCATTTGGTATTCATGATTTGCGCTGTCACTTGATACATTTTTTACTATGAATGTATCACCTATGTTCAAAGTCGAGCGCTTGATTTATTTTCTGTTAATCTCTAGTGTTTCTATTTGATTGAACAATTTGTTGGTCTCTGATTTAAGCATAATTTTTACAGACCTTTCCGTATTCATTTAGTTAAAAGACATGATTTCTATATGATGCATCCGACTGTGTAACTAACTCTAGGAATTTCACATGAGACCCCCTTGTTGTATTAGAATTCTCAAGAAAATTTTATATTTATGGTATAACCGGTAGTAGTTATTAAATATAATTGACTTAAATGAACGTCTTTTTGTGTATGTATGAAAAAGGTATTTCCAACCGGTTGGGGAGACCCGAAAAATTCCTGTAAAAAAGAATAAGTGAGCCTTGAAAATACTAAAAATTATTTTATCGAGTTTCTCAGAAACATCTAGAAAGTGAAGGGTCATGTGTCACATTTCTGATTAGATGATTACCTATCTTTAGAAGAGTTCAAGAATTCTTTAAATTAGTTTAAACCAAGGATTTAAATGAAATGGAAAACATTGAAAAGATAAGTAAACTCTGAATTGCTGTTAACTGGTTGAAATTAGTCAACACGAACCCCTATTCATATTTATTGATAAGGTGTACTTAAAATCTTGAGAAAACTGGTAATTTCTGTAGGACTTCAACTAGTATTATTTAGTTTCGTTGTCTGAGGCTTTACGAATGAATTTTTTGAGGTGTGACTGACCTCCTATAATAGTAAGATACACTGATTATTGAGTAGTGAACACTGTTTATCTAGTCCTTTTAATGCAGATTGAATTTTACCCGTAATTTAAAATATAGACACTAATCTAATTGACTCGACACAGCCTGCGCTATTTTGAGAATTCAGATGATGGTAAACAATGGTCAGAAAACTCTAAACTTCTGTTTTTTTCTCAGCACTGCACATCTATGACTCTGATATGAATCAAACGTCTAACGTTAGGTTTTATGATGAGAGTTAATGTTTAGCAACCAGTTAGTTGGAGTTATTCGATGTTATCGGTATATATTTGTGCACTAATGATAACGAAAAAGTCTTATGGTGTTCCTTATCTCCTTTCCAAAATGAATTTTAACTTATATCAATATCCATAATGAAGATCGTGGCTAAATTGTTGTAATCATGATCAAGATTATTGGATATTTGTATTTAGGTGGTTTTCATTTTTTCTAATTTAACTTAATTCTACTTAGTAATAGTAAGTAACATGAAATAAACAATAAAAAGGTTGAACGAGAAGCAACCAAGTTACAAGAAAGTAATTTGTATGAAGGAATTCTTTAAGTTGTAAACGTCAAAAATTTCTCCCATCATTTTTTTTAGACAAAGAAAACTCCATCAGTAATGCTGTATACAGTTTATCCTACTCAAAATGATTTGTATTACATCTTTTGTATACTCCTTTTTAGTAAGGCTCTACAATTATGACGAGATTTGAGCGTTTGACTGAATCAGCACATAGTATTCTGAGATTAAACACCTTTATAGTGTTTTCTTTAAACAAAGCGCTATTTTTCGCAGTACAATTTAATCACTGATCAACAGCCTCATCATAACACTTGGAAATGTGTATTACCGAATACTACTTTAATGGACTAAATGTAAAATGCTTGCCGTAATAAATTAAAAGCTGTCGGTATGTTAAGTCCTTGATCTGTCTACCCAATAATATACAAAAGAGAACTTGTATCGATCTAGGTTAAGGCCTTGATACGATAGGTTAACTGGTTCAATCATAAGGCTAGAATTGCATGAGTCCAAATTGAGACTAACTGCCTTGGACAGAGGGATGTAGACTACTGGTTGACAAGAGAGAGAGAGAGAGAAAAGACGAGTCACCTAGAACACGTGTAGATTTGTTTCTGACTCCTGATTCCGATTAATGTAAGAAGATATATCAATGAATAGATAACTAATACGACCACAAGGCACAAACGATTAGAAAAATACAATTGTGTCCAAACTAAGCATTGTGGTAGGGAAATGAGGAAGAAAAAATTACGTTTAAATTACAAAAACTTTAGAATAGAAAAAGGTGTAACAGTAGATTCTGTGTTAATTGAAAGATTACAATTTATTGAAATAACCAGGAACAAAACTAAATGTCAGTATTTTACAAGCTTTGAGTAAAGTGAAATAATGTTCCCAAGAATAGCTTTCGTTGTTTGTAATGGCTTCTTTATTTTTATGTTCACATCGGCGACCAATCCCGTTTTTGGGGTCGTGGGTACTGATATGACTTGTGACTATGAGATTCTCTTGGAAATACACACTGGTTTGTCTGTAAATTATATTCTCGCCGATCTCGGTTTAGTGGTCTAGAGGTTTAGCGTTTGTGCACATGACTGAAATTCCTGGAATAGGTCCCCTGTGGTGTGATTGTGGATGCACACTGCTGAAAAGTTTAATACTAGGATGAGACTACTGTTCAGTACCTTCAGCTTTTCGATGATTGTCTAAGTTAGATCGGTTCGTAACCTTAATAGTATTGGTAAGTTTTATTGAGTATTCAACAAGATACATGGTGTTCATTATCATGTTATGAATTTGGAGCCAAAATCCAAGCTGAGCATTCTACCGACTTCTTCCAGCCATCAAGCATTGCAACACAGTGAACACAATGCCAAGTTATCATGACTTATTAATGATCACATTATATATTGATAGATATAATTTGATCAATATTAAAGACTAAAAAAACTGCACATTGGTCACTTCTCGATGATCAATCAGATCAAGGCATAGTGTATTTCTCATTGGTTAAATCTATTTGAACTATGAGTGAGAGGGAAAATGAGCTTAAATACATTATTTCACGACGTGTCTGGTTATATGAACTAGGATAGTGATCCTATTGAACTCTAATTATTCATATGAAGCCTAAAGACCAGTTCAGTATATTATTGCTAGTCAAGGTTTATATACTTGTGTGGTGAACAAGAACATGAGTGGGGACAATTGAATGTGTTTGACCACAAACTTACAGAGCATCTCACTAAAATCTGAGAACCATATAGTAAATAGTAAATTTGCAAAATACCAATCCATCGTCTCAAAGTTGACTGTTCCATTTGCAAATATAAGTCTGTTGTCTCAGATTTCATTGTTCATGCATTTTCATGCCAACTGCGTTTCATTTCTGTTCTTTCCTTCTCGATCTACTGAAATACATTCTATGCCTGACCACCATTACATACTACTTGTATGGACATAAGTAATCCACACCACACTTAGTCATAATCTGTATTATTTACTCTAGAAATAATTATATTACTTAACTGTTTCTAAATTAAAAATAGGCGTTAGAGGGTCCAAAATCTGTGACTTAGTTGTTTTAGTGAATAATCTATCGGTTTCTAAGACAATATATTCAAGTCATCCAGTCAGGTATCACATTGGATTAAAATGATCAATATTCACCAAATATTAATCTTGACCCAACGCTACATAGTCTTTTATACTAATCAATAATATTGTCCTATTGACTATATCTAATATTAAGCACCTAATATAAACTATATATGCAAAGTGTACAAATTATTCAATAGTTTGACAAAATTATTTAATGCATGTATAACTTATTCATTTTATCAATGCACTAATCTACGAATCATCATGCCAAACCTTTTCACTTTACCCCTCCCCCTTTAGATCAAATATATGCATGTTAATAAGATGATTACTATTCATAGAAAGCCTATAGTTGTTGTTGTTATTGTTGCCAAGACTTCATAAGATATTGTTCAAATCATTGTACCTAATTTGTATTGGTCTATTTCGTAGTAATGATGGATATTGTAAATAATAAATGGTTCGTTAGTATATTGAATTTGTCAATTTTTGTAGCAGTGGCGGATGCCTTTTATTCTTCTAAGTGATGTTGTGGAATAAATGGATTCTACGTTGTTTAATTATATTCAATACATTTTACTGGGTAATTAATCTTTTGTTGAGCTGGCGACCCGATGTAAGTTAAACCACCATTGGAAATCTGAGAGCGCTGGGCAGCCATTTTGCTCTAGTATGGGGCTCCTCAGTGGAGTCTACCCACAATCCCACACGCAGGACTAGAACTCAAGATCTTCGGTTTGGCGCACAGTGAACCAGCATCCAACGGTGTCAATGTCTAACTTCACTCAATCCACGAGATCATGCAATCATCTTCCACTGTCTTCGGGGAGTAACTGCCTTACGCCCGATGCGGATTAGCTCCACTGGTTATGGCTTCTTATAAGTATTGATTAAGATAAGAGGACTATTTGAAATGATTAGTTAATATTTAATTGAAATATCAAAACTATTAATAAATGATGGACCAATTTTAATATACAATTACTATTTTAGATTACAGGATGTATTGCTTTAAGTGTTGGAATTTATGAAATCACTTATAGTGATTATCATTTTCTTCGAGGAAAATATGATTTAGGATTATTTACTGGTGAGTTCTCTGTGTATATATTTGTTTGTCCACGTGTGCTGGATGTTTTCACAGCGATTGTATTTTCTATTTTTATCACCACGATCTGAAAGTTTGAAGTATGATTTCAAAAAAGATCGTGCTTGGTTATCACTGGTGTCATGAACTTCAAAGAAAAAACTGTACGTCACGGAGTTTATACTAGTTTATTAATTGACGTCATTTAATAGATTGATAAATAGGTGTTAGATGATTGGAGGTAGTCGATGGAAAACTATTCCTGACCCAAACATCATGTTAATTAGGATTCATCCACAAAGAATACCTGGAATCTTACGGGAAATTATGCATCCTATGGGGTTCGAACCCACATCACTCATCTAAACAGACACTATCGTCCAACAATTTGAACTAAAACTGATATTCTACAGGATTGAAATATTTTTACTGGTTAATTACCAAACAATCATATTGTGTTTATCAATTCCTCTAGTGCTGATTGAGTTCTCTAAGCTGAGCTTCAGTGGGGTCACTAGTTTGAGTGACTGTTGGGGATGTTAGATCCACAGAACTCACTTGGTAAATACATTCTTTTTATAATTTTATTTTGAAAATTTGAGTTTCTTTGTTTTCAAGCCAAAAGCGCTCTTTCACCTTCATGTCGTATTTCCCACTTGCGAGAATCTTAAACGCAATTGGCTCGTTGTATCTTTTGGTATGCTATTTTGTAACGCTACCCAAGGACAATTTTATGCTGTTTATATACATTTGATTTGTCCCTGTTGTTATTGTTCGTGCTTCTGGCTGCTTGTGGAATATATCTCCTCGTTCAAACTTGAACTTCTCACTCTAGTTAGCACGACTGGGACGTATCAGAATAGCTAGCTTATTTGTCTTTGGTCACCGAGTCTTTGTTCCGTTCTCATATTAAGTGAACTCGTAATCGCTTCAAATATAGTAGTGACCCAACATTCCATGTAGTATTTTGAGATTAACTGAATTTCTTCAGCACTAAATGGACTAGTAAAAAACGACACTGGTAACTACACATTGATCAATCAATTGATAAGTCTGTATCTTCTGACAATGAAATTACTTGGATAATTACATTAACATTGGAACAATTTGTGATGACCACTAGTAAAATCTAATTTATATATTTCAATCTTACATAAAATCTTTCAGATTCAGTTAATTTAGCCGAAGGAAAATCTTTATATTTCAAATGAAACTAATTCATCATATTTCATCAAACCTAAAACTATTTTTATTTTCCTTTCATATAAATCTATGATTATAAAATGTTACCTAATTTCTAAAATAGTTTAGTATTGATCACTGGTATTCCTTCTTTTAAACTAGGATCTTATATGATATGTTCATGTGGGATAATTATTTTAATATCTAGTCCATTTGGTTGGGCTGGGATCCTGTCAAGATCAAGAGGTATATCAATATCAGTAAGTTCAATCGTTACATCCAATTCAATTATTTTGTTTTAATAATAATAATAATAGTAATAGTAATGTTAATATTTCAATGTAATCACTTAGAATATGAAGTATCTTTACTGTTTATCATTATTATTATTACTATTATTAGTGGCTTTACTCATTATTATATTTCTGGTACAATATAGAATTCTCAGCACGAAGTATTTCAATAAGTTTCCTTTTCTTATTTCTTGATCGATCCTTGTAATAAATATTAAGTAGTCGTCAGTTAGATGTTAGTAGTTCAGGACTCGGCATCTGAATAATCTATATTCTTTTTTATGCATATAACTACGATGTCTCTAATTGCACTCTTTTGTAACTTGTACTGTGAAATGTTATAAACTTTTCACGAACGCACCTGAATAGGTTATGTGACTATAAGGCATAATGCTGTGTTAAAACAAACAAGAAAACAGATAACTTGTTGAAATAACTGGATGGCAGGAACAGGCAGTTCAGATATTCAAGCAGCCCGCCTCGATCGATCTTATATTATGATAAACATAGTCTGTTCAGCAAGTATATGAACTGTGTTTATAAGAACAAGTTACTTCATAAATGTTAGATTACATCCATCATGTATTTAACTTATTGTCATCTTCAGATTAATCCGTTATTACTTTTATGAATATTTTTTATTCATTGAAGTTTTTAGTTCATTTAAGGTTTTGGTTGAGTGTTGATAACTTCTAGATGATGTTCGTGTATAATTTTCGTAAATTCAAATATGTCATTAGAATTATGGGTACGGATGGCTTTCGGAAATTTACTTCCATCATAGTTATCTGGATAGTGAGTCAGTGCTTGAAAAGTTAATTAGTCAGTCAGCTACAACATAGGACCAGGCATATATATATATATATATATATATATATATATATATATATATATATATATATATATATATATATATATATATATATGCATCGGTTCGATTTACCGCATCTGATTAGCACAACAAGATGAACACCAAATTCATAGTAGTAGTTACTTCAATGGTAGTGATATATAAAAGAAGGATTGTATTGCACGGAAAGCATCAGAGATCATAAGTACTTTCGCCTTTTTCTTCAGCTTATAATGAAAATGTGAAATCGTGATCATGAATGCATCTGGATAAACATTTTGTATTTTAATCAAATAGAATAAGTAGTATATGTAGATAGAAATCGGATGTGTCGTTAAAGCACTTATTTTTATCAATTTGTAGCTACACAGAATCACTACAGACTATTGTTAGTTTAGGGATATATTTTCTCAGATCATGAAGCTTGAAAATGAACACAGAAATATGAGATTATTTTTGAAAGTCTTCAATTTATTTACTTAATACGTGTAAGAACGCATGACTGGCCTCAATCACTGATTGTGCCAGTCTATTACTACGGGATTTGAATCGACAACTGCATCTCTGTGCTAATGTGGTGTGGCAAATAGAACTGATGTACGCACGTACGAAGTTCTACGTTGTTACTGACTGTAAGAACGCAACATGACCTCTCAGAAAGAGTGGTGTTCTTCTAAACTGTCAAAATACCGGACTAATGAAGTTTAACTAGTATGAGAACTATGTGTAAAGTTTCTCCAGTAATCTAAATTCAAACAGAATTACGTAGTGACCGATACAATTTTACCAATGTGCCCATCGCAATTTGATAAATAGAATTCCATAAGAACTGAAGATTAGGCAAGCATGACACTGATTAGTACACAAAGGCCGATCAATTATAAATATCTCAGTCTTGCAGAGGGTTAGAGATGATGTCTCAGACTGTGAAGCTAGGTAATACGGACTGTCTCGAATTATCAGTACGCTTTGCTAACACGAAAACTAGATTCAACAGGGGTTCCTGTCGATGACCTCCAACCACTTGAATTCAGCTACAAGATTTACACAAAATGATCAAATAATGTAAGTTAAATTATAAAACGACGCTAAATTGAACTAAACCTGAGATATCTATAAATAATAACATATATGACACAACTATATCAAATTTCAGCGGTTTATATATTTTCATTTATGAACGAATTACTGTCACTTTTCCGCCTTGATTGATTCTAGAAGTTAGGACCTATTAGTAAAGCGTAAAGAAGGTTGCTTATAAAAGTGATAATTATATTTTAATTTACCATATTTACCAATACCGACTATCTTCCTCTCCCTCTCTCTTCCTTTCATACAAATCAATGACTAATACACTAAATTATTGGGCATTTTTCCTGTTATTGATATCCAAAACTGTAATTTTTACCAGTCTCTGTTGAGGTATAATCTTTTAACAAATTAATTTCTGTCTTTTTCATTATTAGTTTTGTATTATTCTGGTACTTAATGGAATTTGTCTACTTAGTTGTGGAATATGGTCATCAAAATATTCTGAAAATGTAAGTTTATTTTGATATCATTTAAATTTAATAATATAGTTACATGATTACAGTTTCTTTTTGATTGATTAAATAATAAGAAGGGGTTTGTGGAGATTTTAGAAATTTCACAGATTGAAATCATGAGTCAATTGAAGCTAGACCACCATGGAAAACCTGGAAGCACTGGACGGTCGTTTCGTCCTAGTATGGGACTCCTCAGCAGTGCGCAGTCTCCACAAAACCTCTTCTGATAATAATCATCTGCTCACTAGTGACTGACTTCAAGAGATACTCCTGGAGTTCTAGTGAGAAGCCGTTACCAGTGGAGTTCAACCAGGTCTGTTGTGAGATATCAACTCACTGAAGACAATGTTGTACGGTGGTGCAACTTCATGGATTGGTTGAAGTTAGACATTCACACCATTGGATGCCGGCTCAGTGGTCTAGTTGGTTAAGCACCTGGCGTGAGACTGACAGGTCCTAGGTTCGAGTCTCGCGGTGTGTGGGATCGTGGACGCGCACTGCCGAGGAGTCCCATACTAAGACGAGACGACCGTCCAGTGCTTCCAAATTTTCCATGGTGGTCTAGCTTCAATTGACTCATGATTTATATCTGACTCCAGTTTGATCGTTTCTAATTCCTATTCAGATATACATATCCCCAATCCTCGTATATAATTATCAACTTAACTCACATTAGTGAATAACGGAATTAAATAAGTCAAATACAAGAATGGATGTTTGAATATGTATATTTCGTACAATTGTTGATCGAGACAAACGACCGAAGAAAACTAAGGGAAGAGAGTGAAACGAAATGACGCGCAGTGGAGGTGTGTGAGCCAACTCGATTTAATCAGGCGTTAATCACCATTTATAGTCACACAAAAATAGACTACTGACATATGATGAATAGAATAAGAAGTGTACACACATACGCTCATATAAGAACAGTTAAGGTTGATAAGTGAATAATTAACAAGCTTAAAACGTGACTAAAGAAGAATGAATAAATTGGACTGTCCAGAAGCTAGAATAAGTTATATTGGCTTAACATAGTAACTGACATTACATTGTATGAATGATAATTCAGAATATTGTTTTTATAACAAAATTGTACAAACAAACGTTAGATTATACAGTTCTCAAGATAAGTCAGATAAGTGTATGTTATAAAGATTAACTTAAAAGTAACTTGGACAAATTTAAATCCATTGTTGACTAAATGGTAAAATAATTATGGTGAGACTACAATTTATGGACGACGTTTGAACGAATCTTAAGTGACTTTGAGAAATATTAGCAAATCAGGAAACAGTTAGTATAGAGTAGAAATATATTATTCATTTCTTTTACATGATTCAAAAACTTTCCAATGTTAGAAAGAGGTTCAGAGGTTCTAATATCGTAATACATGTGATATAGGAATTCATTCATATGGCTCGTTAATAGTAGGCCTCTAGATCCATGATAAGGTCGCAAAAACTCGTTCTGCTCCGACCACATAGCTTCAGTATTGTTTGTGTTCACTCCGATTGTGTAAACTTGTCATTTTCTATTACTGGTGCTCTTGTTATACAGTTCGTAACAGTTACTATAATTTGCTTTAGTCTCAATTTAGATCGTGCGGAAAAAGTTCCTTTTCTAGCAGACTTCTTCCTAAAACATATGCTACATCGAAAGACAACATCATCACGGTTGTCTGCACGACGTCCATAAGTCATTTGATTACCACAATCACAAATAAAGTAACTTCTTAATAGTTCCATTTGTTATAGCCGCTCAATTATCATGTTTTCTCTAAAAGTCCTCTGTGAACCGATTGTACATGAGCATCAGGTAGTGAAATTGTCATCGTGACCTTGAAATCCCTCAAGCGCTTCTGATTAGCTCGTTCATAAATTATAGTCTTGCCATAATTATAAAAAATCCCTAAAACTATTTTTGAAGATTTTTACATAATATTTAATAAATTTACTGAAGTTTTCTATGGGTTTTCCTAACTGCAACAAATCAATAAAACAATGATATATAAATTCATTCAGATGGATATAAATCATCCGTCTTCTTGAACCCTAGTAAGAATTTACAAAGAGTTTAAAGAATTATTATTTTATTCCTAGTTACAGTTTAGAGTTGAGGTTAAGTGTTTAGGGTTCGAGTATATGAATAGAATTGATTCACATATTATATCTAATCTTAAAATCAAGAATAGGAGATTTGATGAGTTTATCATTATCCATTTAATATTTCTTTATAATTCTAAATACTCTTAACACTATACAAATTGATTTCAACTTATCATTTCATATTATACAATATAGAAGTAATAAGGGTGTAATACAGAGACAAACATAAAAATAACCGAAAAGAATTTTCAACCAGTTCATAGTAAATCAAAGAACAATTACTTTGTTAAATGGATAGTTTGTAGATAAGGAAATAATAATACTACAATGCATAGACAGATTTCATATATTTACTAGATCAGCTAAAAATCTTCTACGAGTTAATCTGCCTGTAAAACGAAAAATAACAACATAAAAACTCGTCCCCATGGATATCGATTATTTATTTTCGCCAGAATATAAAAGGCTTGAAATAGATTTCTAGGATTTTTTGATTGAGATCATGAATCGATCAATGTTAGACCATCATTGGAAACATGGGAGCACTAGATGGTCGCTTCGTTCTAGTATGGGACTCAGCAGCGTGCATCCACGAACCCACATACGAGGTCCAGACCCCAGACCTTTGTTCTCGCGTATGAACGCTTAACCTCTAGACCACTGAGCCGGCAGCTAACGGTATTAGGTATTTAAGGCAAGAATTAGGGATTCATGTTTAGGATTTCCATCATGAACTAACATCAGCAATAAGGGGAAACTGCTCTGTAGACAAATGTATAGATACATTTAGCACAACAAATTAAGAAGCGATATCTGATAAGTTCATTCATAAAATATAGTGCCATCAGGTTAAGGTTTATTCAGCATTAAGATTTTAGGTTAGAATTTAACGATAGTGCAGATTCCCTTTGTCATATTGTGGTGTTTGAATGAACTAATGATTCTTTTGTACTTGTTGAATGCTTGATTTCGAATTCCAAATACAGTACATTCGTTCGTGCTTATCTAGTACTTCTTGATCCGATTACGTTATTTCTGGGATTCTTAGTTCGTACTGTAATTCAAATACTCCTAATCATCATATTGGCGTCGCGATGGAGCCTGTGATGGAATTGTTGGATATACATTCAGATTTAGATGCTTTTGAGGATTATTTTGAAAGGTTCGAAATCTCGGCTATGACCAAGGAAGATGATGAGGATGTTAATATTGTAGCACATTTCCTCACATTCATCGGAAAAGAAGCATATAACTTATTAAAAACTCTGGCTTTACCGGAAAAGCCCATTTCGCTTCCTTATACTGCTCTCAAGGAATTACTGCTAGACTATGTTAATTATGCAAATTTCGATTGCGGTAAAGGAAGATTTCGTAAAATGATTCACAAGGATATAAGAAATTCCAATAGATTACGTCATCTCAACCCAGTGTATACTCAAGGATATGTAGATAATTCATTGAGGAGTTGCAATGCATTTCACGAAGATGGGCACAAGTTTGATCAGTGTTTGTCCTGTGGCAAGTTCCACTCTTTTAATTCATGTAAATTTCGTAATTCTATGTGTTTTAAATTTGGTGATATTGGACATATTCAGTCAGTCTGTAATACTAATGTTCATCTTATTGCAACTAATATTAAGTCTTGTAATTCTGATTCGGCGAGACTCTTATTTATGGCCGAGCCAATGAGAAGCGTTTTAGAGACTTCAAGGTTACGACGCCAACTTCAGGGCTTAATGCTAACGTACGATGGGTTCGCAAGAAATTTTGTTCAAAAGGTGTTAATTTAGCGACTATAACAAATAAAACGGCAAGACTATAATTTGTGGACGAGCCAATCAGGTATAAGATAACAAATCTCGGATTTTGGAGCGAAAGTCTTTTATCCATTTGGTTAAATAGGGTTTTGACATTATAGCTGATGTCAGTTCGTGATGAAAACCCCATATATAATTCCTGAGACAAATTACGACAATTATTGCGAACTGGATAATAAGAGCACCAGTAACACTGGCTGCAGCCAGGTACTAAAATATATAAGATGTTTGGAGAGCGTACAGACTCCTACATAGGCTAGGTTAAGTGCATCGTGTCGTTATCCACAAGTAGCATTTTGTATACTCAGTAACCGAAGTGCACATAAACAATATAGAAGCTATGTGGTCGAGGCTGAAAAAGTTTTTGACACTTTATCATGGCTCCGGAGGTCAGCTATTCTGTAGCCGTATGTACGATTTTCTAAACTGCATGGATTACTAGTTTAGAACCTCTTTCTAACCTTTTTGGAAGCACGTATAAGAATTGTATCCACTTTATTTCCTTGGTTTTGCATAATATATTTTTACTCTATACTTAATGTACGCTGATTGGCTCATATTCTCAAGGTCACTTAAGATTCTCTCAAAGGTCGTCTATAAATTGGAGTTGCGCCTCTGATACTATTAAGTCCAGTGTTCCTAATGATTATTTATCCTTATCAACGATTTCAAAAGACAGTGTAGAGTCATATAGCAGTTCGGAGTTAAATGAAACTCAGAATTCTTGTGAGATGACAGTTTCTAATTTACCAACTTCTTATCAGATCTCTCATGTTATGTACCAGATATAGTTTGTCTTAATGATTCATATATTCCTGATGAAAGTTCTTACAAATCTGAGGAAAATATGTTGAGTGAATCTAATCTTGATCGGAAACCTGATTCAGTGTTGATAGATGCTGATCTTTCTAATGATCCTTTACTCTGCAATGACATTCATAATAAATTTGAGGAAAGTATTTCAGAAAAATCAAATCTTGATGTCGTATCAAATATTATTTGTCCTCGTAATGCATTTGTTTCTTGTGGGAAACTTGTGCACTGCGAAGCGCAGGTACCAAATGAGCTCGATTTTGATTACAATTCGGATGATTTCATATCAACTGTTGTTTATCCTTACCACAAAGTCAATTCTAATGTTTACTCTAAACAGTCTGAGAAATATATTTTAAGTGAAGCCACACCATTCATAACTTGGGTATATGAAGATCCAACATTATTTCGTAGGGGAGGATAGTCTGAAAGTCTATAGTTCAAATTCTAGGTAGCAGTAGTTTCAGTACTCAATCCCAGGAAGCAGACAATACAGAGTCTTTACCCAATACACTGTTGGACAGACACAGAATGAACTTAAGAAGAAGACGTACAATCAATTACAGACACCTAGACTCCAATTTAAGCTGTGACGGATGTGGTGTTCGAATGAACTAATGATTCTTTTGTACTTGTTGAATGCTTGATTTCGAATTCCAAATACAGTACATTCGTTCGTGCTTATCTAGTACTTCTTGATCCGATTACGTTATTTCTTGGATTCTTAGTTCATACTATGATTCAAATACTCCTAATTATCACACATATGCAATCTATAGGAACAGAATTTGGGGTAAAAAAAGTAATTTTCAATTATCATTTTAAATATTTTGAACAATGTACAAAAGTTAGTAGGAAATATATTTGAAGATACACCAATGAGTAGAAAATTGTATCGCTGACAAAATTGTTTTTAGTGCTCATTATACATAACATTTGAATTCTGAGCAAAATCTCAAGAGTCATTTTCTCAATTCTGAATAGCTAGTATGTATACCATCCCTTTTTATTGACTGATCATTATATACACTACAAATTTATGTATATTAATCCAACAACACATATGTGTATCCTGTGCGGACTGCCTCGATATTCCCTGAAGTCACAAGCATTATGATCAAAGATGAACAGTGGCTAGAAGTGGAACTCAGGACGCGCGTTTAATCCCATTTGGGACTCACCAGCTGGGTGTACGTGCATCGCAGAGATGATGATCACCCTGGGACTCGAACCCAGTACCGTTCGCTTCAAACTCCATCGCGTTATCCACTTAGCTACTGAGCCCTGATGCCCACCTGCTTGTGCAATGGGGTGAAGTTATATTCACTTCGTGTTGTTTACTTATATCTTCCTATTGTTATTTAGGATTGCAATTGATCAGTCTCTTGTTGGTATATATGCATCCTGTGCGGACTGCCTCGATATTGCTTAAAGTCATGAAACGCATATCCTAGATTCCACCGCTAGCCATTATCCATCTTTACTTAAATAAGTAACCAATTTATAAAATATCATTCAACTAACAAGAATAAAGTTGAACTTGTTTATAAAACAATTTTTAGATTATCAGAATGGGTTTTGTGGAGATTTTTAGAAATTTCACAAGTTGAAATCATGAGTCAATTGAAGCTAGATCACCATGGAAAACCTGGAAGCACTGGACGGCCGTTTCGTCCTAGTATGGGACTCCTCAGCAGCGTGCGCCCACGATCACGACTCACGGGATTCGAACCCAGGACCTACTGGCTTCGCGCGCGAGCACGTGACCATTAGACCACCGAGCCGGTTGATATCCAACGGTGTTAATGTCTAACTTCAACCAATCCACGAAGTTGCGCCACCGTACACCATTGTCTTCAGTGAGTTCCTATCTCACAACAGACCTGGTTGAACTCCACTGGTAACGACTTCTCACTAGAATTCCAGGAGTGTCTCCTGAAGTCAGTCACTAGTGAGCAGATGATTATTATCAGAATGGGTTTTGTGGAGATTTTTAGAAATTTCACAAGTTGAAATCATGAGTTCGAATCCCGCGGGGGGCGGGTTCGTGGATGCGCACTGCTGAGGAGTCCCATACTAGGACGAAACGGCCGTCCAGTGCTTCCAGGTTTTCCATGGTGGTCTAGCTTCAATTGGCTCATGATTTTAACTTGTGAAATTTTTAGATTACTTTAATACTGTAACATTGATCTTTATCAACATCATTTAATTTAACATTCTTTTAGATACACATTGAGCTAAATAAAATGTTTGATAATTTACTAAAAAATTATGATGAGAAACGTTTAATGGTGAATGATGAAACTAAATTTCTCAATTACATTCAATATAAAGTGAGTAATATGAACATAAATTTTCTTTTTTAAAATATCAAACAACTGGAAAGTCATCAAGTACTGTAGAATATTGATACATGGAAACCATTATTCTCATTTCTCTCCTAGTTCCAGCTATTTTAAATGACAAGGATTACAAAAAAATACAGGTTTATTTTGATAAAGAATGAATTAGACAGAATGGAAGTATGAATATAGGTACGGTGACTTTGAAAGCAGGATAGGGAATCAGTTTAGTAAAAAGAGTAACTACCCAATAAAAAAAGAAATCATTTAGTCGTTGTAAATATGAGGATTGGTTCCTTTGACTAAGTAAAAAGTGAAAACAAAAAAAATGTATATACTTAAAGTAACAAAATAAACTAGTAAATAAGTGAGTCTTCTGGAGACTTAAGATTACTAACAACTGAATAGATGATTCATCCTTAATGATCTACAATCCTCACTCCTTAGGGAATGAGTACACAACCCTCAAATCTAGAACTAAACACAGAACACTCTTAGTATACCAAGTTATAATCTGTTATTTTAAAATACCAACGTCAGTTACATTGCAAGCAGTACCATCTTCATTCACTGTTTTCTGTAAGTACTCATCTAACTGACAACTTTGTTGAATTCACAGATCATAACTTTCTACTAAGACTTCAGGAACTATATTTCAATGACAATCATTACTAAGCTCATAAGTATCATCCAGTGCAGTGACTTCAAGGTGTTTATTTTTTAAATATAAGTACAATTTTCATTACATTGTATGTTAACACTGCTGGAAATTTCAAACCCAAGATGAAACAGTTGTTCAATCCTTCCAGAGTTTTTTTGTTCTTTTTGTGTTGTTTGTTCTTAGTAAAGGGTGTTTTTAGTATTTATCAGAAGAAAAGTTTTTTTTGTAAGACCTGTCATCTACCTAAAGGAGCGCTTGTCTAAGTTACTCACTAGTTTGAAAAAATCCTCTTCATAATCAGACATTTCAAATGATAAACAAAATAGATATATACAACCAAAAACTATGAAACATTAATACAGTGCATTCAATATTTGATTGTCTATGGAAACAAACAGGAAGTTTCAAAAACAAAAGTATTAGAGTGGTAAAAGTCTAAGTTATATTTATGTCTTTAGTGATATATCACTAAGAATGATTTGAAAAAAAAACACTAACTGGTTAATGAGTTACGACAAAAACCACTAGTGTCTAGTCTTTAGGTCTGATCAAACTGTATCATTCAACTTGTCAAGTAGCCACTAATAAAGGGTAACACATTTGACTGAAACGTTGAGTTATGTGGCTTCGATCCACATGAAAACGACCAGTTCTACCGAGATGATGAACGTCGAGAGATACAAAACCTAGTTTCAAGGCATCTTATATTACTGTCAAAATAGAAATCTAAAGTAAACAAATTCATTTACCAATAATATCTACACATATTTTGTATTATCTTTCTAATAAATTGTGAATGTCTTATTATGCAACATTGTATTTCCCTTTACATCAATTGAAAAACTTAAACCGCTTCGTGACTTAGTGATTAGTGAATTCACGAAATTCTTCAGTTGAACACTTAATATTCATCATTGAGATGCTTACGCAACCCAATACATATTTAACTCAATAATCTTTTGCATGGTAAATTAAGTTCTCAATTGTAAAATTCAAAAAAAAATTTATTACACAATCTAACATTTGATGGTGACCAGAAGAGAAGTCTATCTGGCTTGAAATACTAAAACCAAGGGAAGTACACCATATGAATCCTCACCAAAATAATGCTATCTATCAAATTTAGTTAGTGGCTAGAAGCAGAATCCAAGACACGCATTTCATTGTGTTCGTGACTCGTTAACCAGATGTACTTGTCATATCCCAGTGTTAATGTTTACTCCAAGGCTCAAATCAATTGTCTTTGGTTTCAAAACCCAGCTTGTTATCCACTGACCAGATACCCATTAGCTTAATGTAATGGGTATGAATTGCTATTTCTTTTCTCTAGGGATTCAATATTTTAAAATCACCATTCTGATAGTAACAATAATTATCCTTTTGTAGTTTGATTGCTGTGGTAAATTAAATGTTGAAGATTTGATAGATCGTAAACCAATTATTGCATGTGGAATGAAACCAATTGAAAAGAAGGTATGTTCAATTTTTTAGGATTATTATTGTCATTAACAGTGTAATTAATAATTCATTCAATTAGGGATGTTTAACGAAAGTTATTGGCACGACAAAATCCGGTCAATTTCGTATTGCATTTGTTAGCATCTGTTTAGCTATGTGGCAGGTCAGTAAATAACTAACTATTAAGTAGTGTATTTGTTATTATTAGATTTTTTATTAAATATCAATCAGCAAATATGTATATCACGGGTTGACCTTAGTTAAACAACAGCTGGGAACCAGAAAGAGCTGGACAAACGTACAGTCCAAGTAAGGACTCCTTAGTAATGATTAGCCATGATCCTATCGAAGACAGAATCTAGGACCCTTGATCTCGAGGTGAAAATCTTATCTTTAGACCATTGATCTGGCATCCAATGGTTTAAACATTTAATTTCAACCAATCATCTTCGAATCATACTAGTGATTAACTGTACTCGGCATGGCAGAGCACCATTAACCAAACGTATAAAGCATTAAATACCTGCTTATTGGATCAAAGGTTAAGTATTGGCAGTGAAACCAGAAGTCCTGGATTTGAACACTGGCGGGGCCATGTGTGTGCACTGCTGGGTGGTACCATATTAGGAGGGAAAGGCATTTCAGTGCTTCCTGGTTCACAGTAGTTGGTTAATCAGGATCAGTTCGTTATGTCAACTTCAAAATTTACTAATTTTCACGATCCCCGTAGAATAATAAAGTTATTGTTTTCTTCCTTGTGAAGTCATAATAATTGTGCCTAGCCCACTCAAATTTTTGCTATGGCTGTTTTGTAACTATGCAGGTTTTTCGAGGAATTCTCATATTCTAAACTTATTTTAAAAGTTGATTATGCACGTAAGGTAAAAACAAATGTATTCGTGAGGTTTTGTAGTTAATCGATAACGTAATGTGATATTAAATGCTATAATATATTTTCAAAGTTGAATTCACTAGTCGATCTAAGCTAGATCACTGTTGAAAACCTGGAAGCACTGGATGGCCGTTTCATCCTTCATGTGAAAGCATGAAGCGCACTACTGAGGAGTCTTATACTAGGACAGAACGGCTGTTCAATATTTCCAATGGTGATCTAGCTTAGATCAACTCGTGAAATGAACTTTGAAAATACCACGATCTCCACAAATCCTTATACTGACTATAAGATATCATAATGGTTTGGATATTTTTCTTCTTGCCTATGCTTTGGAGAGTCGACATCAGATTACACTAGAATATATACATATTACATCATGTGAAAAAAATTGGAAATGTATTGCATTCAAATTTGATTAACAGTTGAAACATATTTTAATATATTTTCAGGATTATTATATTTTATTTTAACACATAGATATTGGTAAAAGGAGGCACCAAATACATATGCGTCACACAGATCTCAATTGATTTGTGTGAGTGCTGTGATAGTGCCCGAGTGCCCAAACCGAAGCAGGTGGTTGTCTTAAATGGTCACTACCTAACTCTTTGAACTAGAGGTCTAATCCATAAGGCAGTGGAGCATCGTAAGGAGATGCAGTCCCATGGTAGCCGATCGATAATTGGTTCATATGACATTTGTTCCCTCAGGGTATTAGAGCCCATGTACACCAATGGTTTGGAATTAGGGTTTTCCAACTCCCCTAGGTGGACTCTCCCTATCCACCAACCCGGTTAAAGCGCCGGACACTCGCCTTTCGTCCTCTCAATTTCGTAAACAACACCCCCGCCACGAGAAGGCAGTGAATAGGACTTCCCTGTCAGAGGCTATTTACGCGTGGCCATGTGAGAGCATTTCGAGCACTCTCGGCCGTACCACGGCATTTGGGGGATGAAATATATTCTAAGATGGGATTATATCAATATTGTAACTTTTAGCATGGGATCATTGTTATGATTTTCTGAGTTATTATTTTCATTAACCTTTGTATCTTACCTAAATCGTATATCTGTCCTCTTTTAGTTTTTCGGTATCATTATTTACTCCTTCTTTACTTGTTCAAACTGGAATAATCAAAATCACCATCATCATCATTTTGATTATTAGTATTCAAAAAAAGAATACAAGGAACTTTGAATAATGATAATGATGGAAAGAATTTTTAGACAGAAGTATATGTTACTATAAAATATACTGGTATCTATGCCTTAAAAAGAAATAAACAAATGAATTGACAATATTCAGTGAGGATAATTATTTTGATTATATTAGTAATCGCAGAGAGAGAGAGAGGAAAAAAAAAGAAAGATCCCTTGGTTACAACAGTATTATGTCTTTTTCTTTTCCAATTTACTTGTTTAAATTAATCAATTAGGTTACAAAACTTCTATGGTAAAATAAAAAGAAACCATGGAGAACGTTAAATGATAGTTGAGACAGATTTTTGTATTTATCTTAGTCGGTGTACTGCTAAAGATCAGTGAGCATTATATAGTTGTTTGAGTATATTTTAACACTTCTCATTAGTGTATATACATGACTTTTTCAGCAAAACGAATAGTTTGAAGGTAGCATTCTTCAACTTTACACAATTTCCGAAGTGTCATCCAATACACTTTCTGCTATCTGTTTCATTCCTGATATTGTTATACTCCAAACATTTAGTATGCTTCAAACCATTAGTGACATTATTAGGATAGAGGGTTTGAGAAAAGTGTTTTTCGGCTCAACCCATTCAAGGACTAAATAAATGTAGGAATTGACGAAATGCGTTTTGGGATTCAGTAATAAAACATGGTGTGTATTGAATGAATATTCTGTCAGTAATGTTGTATGTTTCTGATTATGACATTAGGTGGTGGGTTTACAAGTTCCATCAGAAAACTACTTCTTTCAAGTATGTAAATACATCTTAATAATAACTGATAACCAACACGGCATCTAAGTAAGAAGTTTCCATACAATTGTCCCCAGCCTCCCCACTGCAGATCGTAATATTGAATCATTTAGACTAGTTTTAATGGAAATAAAACGCTGAAAATCCCTGCACAGCATTCCATTGCACAGTATTGTCATTCATTTGTTTCTTCTTGTCTTGTATTCAACTTTTATTTAGGTCACTTGGTAACCACACTTTATGTTCGATGCCTGGATATACCTAACCATAACATACGTCAAAGCATGATGTTTGGTGGTTTATGCTGAAAGAACGTTGGAAGCAGCCAAAAGCTATAAAGTCGTGTAGACAGGTGCAGGCCACCTGATTAGGATGTGGGGTTATCGTGACCAGTGATTAGTGACATCATTACTAATACTACAGTAAAGCGGACTCAATAAATTAGTGATCTTATCACGTAGGTATATGGAAGTTGAATGCCGGCTCAGTGGTCCAGTAGGTTAAGTGTTCGCGCGCGAGACTGAAGGCCCTGGGCTCGAATCCAGCGAGCGGGATCGTGGATGCGCACTGCTGAGGAATCACACAATAGGACGAAATGGCCGTCCAGTGCTTCCATGATTTCCATGGTGGTCTAGTCTCAATTAACTCATGATCTCAACCATTGAAATCATTACAATATCCACAAAACCCTTCTGATATTATATATATATATATATGTCAATTCGTGGAGTAAATAAACCTATATTATACTAAAATTGCCAAATAACTTTCCACTAGTTGGGGAATGTTTACAGTCGTAACCTCTTCGACTGCATTGACAACACACATTACTATGATTCGAAAAGAAAATATTGTAGTTTTAATTATTCTCATTGGCGAAATAAAAGACAAATAAAACAGGTATATTAATATTATTATCATTGTCCCTTCTTTTGTATATCAATCGTATACATAAAACAACAAATTATTCAAAAGATCGACAAATTAAGAAAATACAGACATATTTGAGGCAAAGTAAAAAGTGTGCACACCCAGAGGAAACCTGCCTCCAACTAAAATAGTAGATGTGCCAAAGAAATAATGACCAGTCGAAAATGTATAATAATAATACTTAGTATTATTACATATCCATGGGTAGAAGACTTGATAATCCGCCTTGGCCACCACTGAAGCCACTGGTAATGATTTTTAGCTAGATTATGAACATTTGGAAGGAGAAAAAGAAACGCTGGATGAAGGAAAACTCATTTATCAAGTAATTATGTAGTGCAACAGGAACAACACTAAAAACGATACCACTACCATTACTACTACTACTACTACTACTACTAATAATAATAATAATAATAATAATAATGGTCGTTAAAACTAGTCAGGATGATAGGACGTCATAAAAATTGACTTTTAATAAGAATCCCAAATAAGTATATTTTACAGAAAATATGTAGTTTATATTATGGATTGGAGTTTGGTTATACAATTATCAAAAAATAAAGGACTAGACATCTGGCGTTTACTATCTAGTATCAAGTAATTAATCATGAAAAATCTAGTCTAAAAAAGAAGGGGAAAACTTTAAATGCAAACACCTAAATTATTACTTTCTTTCACATTCTCATAACAGCTGGAAGAATGAAACTAGTGACTGTAGTGAGATTTGACGGAGAGACAGAGTGATAGAAAAAAGGCAGAAAATTAAAATTTAAACCATTTGGTTCTCAACTCAGTTGTTTAAAGGCTAAGAGATCATTGAGAGGCTTGAATTTCATTGGTCCGATCCCTGATACGATCGTGGGTGTGAAATATTGAGGTGTCTCATTTTAGTAAGAAACAACCGTCTAGTCCATCGTGTTTCTCGATGGTTATCTAAGGTTACTTCATGAGGAAAATAAGAAAGTTAACAATCGCCACAAATCATTCGTACTAACAAAATAATATCATCAATAGATAATCCAGTTAGTCAATCATAACCAGTGTAGGACCAACCACGGAAAAATGTATCGGTTCAAGTTGCCAAAACTACATCAGTACACTAAGTTGGGAAAGTAAAAAGATGAACGATAGACAAAACGTTGGAGTAACTGTAATATTTAAAATTAGACTTAAAAAAAGACTAAACAGAGAATATAAATAGAAAAGTAGGAGCGAAGTACCATTAAAATCCAAGACCTGTAGGAAGATAGAAGATAAATGGATCTACACCACCAGGATAGATACTGAGCCACATCACTACTACAAAACATCTGCAATCCCTGATCATGATTATTATGCCGACATACACTAGATGGTTTATAGATCTGCTAACATGGTACAAAAAAAGATTATATGGTTTTCTGTGCTCTTTTTTGTGGTCTAATCTGACACAACGCAGTACTGAGCACAGAGATAAGTCACTCGTTCAGGTTACGTTGCATTTGTCTAAACCATTTCAATCGGTGAGAACTTACAGCCGTATCAGTCGAGTCGTCATTTTTACTTAGCTACCACCTAATATTTACAACATCAATATTGCTGCTTTGATTTTTCCACCATACACGAGACTGACAATTTGAAGATATCAGTGATCAAAGATACTAGTAATTCAATGGTTATTAGTTGAGCCTCATTAATAAGTCAGTCAGTCATACGCAACATAGAGACTGGTACAAACATGTGTTAGTTCAAATACCCATGTCACATCAGCACAACAAAATGAAATTAACATAACGAATAATAAACGAATCGAAATAATGGTAGTATCAGTGATACCGGAACAGAGTAAGCATTAAGTATATATTTCAAGAAGACGAAATGAAAAGTTATGTATGATGAAATGCTGGAACTGAAGGTTTAAAATAAGAATGGATGCATCTGTATCACTGTGAGACATACCGAATTAAGTCACTCTAAGTCTCTAACCACTGATTGTGGTAATTATACAGACCTCACCCCAACCAGGTAATTTGTATATACCAGGATTAGCAATCTGGGTCTTTTTGCAATTCCATTTATCATGATGTGTTGCTCAACAATCTATTCATAATTTTTTAATTGTGAATATCATTTATACATTTTGAAAAAACACAGTCTTACTTACTTTGAACATTGAAAAGGGTTTATTATTTACCATCGAGTGGGATGGTGTAATAACTTCAAATAGTTCACGACATAATCCAATAGGTAAACTACCACTACCCAATGGTACAAGAATAATATAATCAGATTTGTACAAAGAACATTTTTCATTTTCCCCGACGCTTCCGCTACCACCGGGAATGCGAATGAATCGACTATATGATAAAAGTGATATACATAAAGTAATAGACACGTAGTGGTGTAAAACAATATTCCAAATTGAATGAAAAAGTAACATTTTACTAAATATAACATGAAATGTATTGCAACACTACTGATTAGTATCGTGTGGATCTTGGAGGGGGTCATCTTCGTTTTTCTTCACCAAAACAATAAACTAACGTTGAACCCAAGCAACATATCAGCCTTTCGATTAAAAATAATTATGAACTAACATCATTTGACAATAGTATTCTCTATCCCATGACTGCTATCATAATAATTGATCAATTTTTGCTACTAACATTAAAAATTTCAGTAAAGCGATAAAAACTGGAACATCTAACAATACTGTGATATATTGTTTTGGAACAACAATTGGTTTGTACATTATTATTGAGGGCTTTATTCGTAATTATAATAAAATACCTTCAAGTGGGATTATGGAGTTTCCCTGTCTTCAAACGCTGGTCAATTTGTGGCTACTGACGTTCGTTTCGAACAGCTTTAGCAATTTCAACATCATACACCATATTAAGTATTGTTACTTATTCTAAGTACACATTTAAACTGATCCGATACAATCCACTGATGCTTTTACAACGAACAATGAATACCATCGCTCTGAATGACACCATTTGTTTCAGTGAGCTGAAGGAGTATTAAATGGCAGCTTCTACTCTATGACACTTTTAAACATAACAAAAAATATCTAATCAACTGTTATCATTCCAGCTTCTAATATAGGGTTTGTGACTTCTCCACAAAAATTTGATCTATTTATTAGTGTTTTAAAAGTTAAGCACCCGTGGGCGAGATAAAAGGTCCTAGGTTTGGTCTCCAGTGGGGTAGTGGATGAACACTGCTGAGGAGTCCCATACGTACGAAGTAACTTGTCCAGTGTTCACTAGTTTTCAGTCATTATCTAACTTAGGTCTGTCAGTGATATCGCTATCATCCAATAATTTCCTCAGACCCTCTGTATAGATAAAGTCATAAAACTAACCTATATATTCAGCATTGATTGCCTTCAAGAATAAGGTCTATAATCTAGTCATTATCCAATATCGACTTGCTTGATCATCATATGTACCCTCCTCCCTGGGATTTCCTTTTATTTAGTAGTAGAAATAGTAACATGAATACGAAATAATCGTAAGACATACTACAATTTGTAATAGTATTTTAACGATACA